AAAAATATTAAATAGCATAGTAGAAACACACCCGTTCGGTGGTGGTACTCCATTCACAATTACATTTTGAGACCTATCAGTTAGCCAGTTTTTAATCAATTTAATGTGTGCAATGTTAATTTTATATCATTGTAGGTTTTCAATCAACTCAAATGCCTTACAGAAGTCTAAGTTTGTTACATCAACATTATTGCCTTTATCAACAAAACTTGTAATCTTATAAAAAAAAATATCAAGTTAGTTCGACAAGATCTATTTTCTATAAACCCATGTTGATTGGCATTAATTATATTACCCTCCTTTAATTCTTTATTAATCAAGTCCCATATCAGCCACTCCATTATCTTGCTCAGGGTTGCTGTCAGATTGACAGTTCTCTAACTACCCAGTCGTCCCATATATCCTCTTTATATAGTGGCACAACATTCAGTCTCTTTCAGTCTTCAAGAACTTCCTGGTGACTTATTGAAGAAAAAAAATAAATCATTAACAGTCCAGTGAGTTCCTGAACCAGCTCTTTGAAAACTCTTGGATACAAGTTTTCTAGATCTGCAGATTTAAAAATATCTAACTTTAGTAGCTGCTGTTTAACATCTTCCTAAAATACTTGTGGAATGAAGATAGTTGTTCCCTCTCACCAAACACAGAACAGAAATGTATTGAACACTTTGCCTTTTCTCCTCTATTATTGATAATTCTACTATTTCTACCTAGTAATGGACCAATACCATAGTTAGGATGCCTTTTGTTCCTTATATACTTAAACTCTGTATTGTCCTTAACTCTGCTGGCCATAGATTTCTCATGTCCCTTTGCTTCCCTTATCAATTTTCTACAATTCTCAGCTTCTGATTTATATTCATTACTCTCTACTTCCCCTTTCTTCCATTTATTTATTTTTATAGCAGCCTTTATTTGCACTCTAAGTCACATTAAAACACCAATCAATATGGCTTTCTTCCTCGATTGTGGCTTTTTGGCATCTAGTAAAGTATTCTTATAAAATTTCTAATTATTCATATTTATCTGATTAAATTCTTCCTCCTAGCTGATTTAGCTCATAGTTGTTTCCACCCTTGTGAAATTGGCCATATTAAAAGCACGACATACATATAACTGGTCTGGACTTTATTCTGTTTGCACATTAAAAATGTGATAAGGTCACAACCACTTGTACCTAAGTTACTATAAATTTTTAGTTGTGTTCAGTTCCTCTTTCTTGGTCAAGGGGAGGTGTAATGTATAATTCCTCTGTCTTGGATATAACACTTTTTTTTAGTTAGGAAACTGTCATCTATAATATTTAGAAATTTCAAGGATGTTTTAGTATCAGAAACATGAGACATCCAGCATAGATCACTTAAATTGAAGTCCCCTGGGATCCTGTAGCTTTTTTTCCCTTCACATTGTAAATAGGTGAGTAAGGAGCCAATCACCCTGTTCCCCATTGTGATTTGGTGATCTGACCTCCACTAACACATCTTGTGCTTTATCTGTTAGGACATTGATCCATAAGCATTCAAGATCATTTTCTTCCAAGTTATCAGTGACTCGGAAACACAATGCCATCTTTGACAGAGAGCCACTCCCCCTCTCCTGTTGCCCACCCAATCCTTCCTAAATAGATTACCGTTGATTTTAACATTACAATCACGAGAACTATCCCACCAGGTTTCAATAACAACTAGATCAAATTTATGCTCACTGATAAACAAGAAGAATTGGAATCGCTCGTTACCCAGGCTCCTAGCATTGGCACATAAGAAATTATTTGATTGCCTCTCTTCACAGCCTCTGGTTCCTTAATTAATTTTGTTCTCAATATCTTGATTTTGTGCTGAGAGCTCATATCTTCCCTTTGTTTACCGTCTCCTTTTGTTATTACTTTAATGTCCTCCTATTGCTACAACTTTAATTTGGGACTTGGACACATTACTTAAGGGACAAAGCTATGAGTGTCAGCACTCCAGCCATAAAGATATCAGATCTCAGCAATCGTGCTTTGGACAAACTTAGAGTTCAACTTTACACACAGTGTTAATGTGCAGTTATGATTAGAATACTGTCTACTGACAATGTAGGTGCAGGTAACTGTCGTACTGCAGAATAGTTTTTGAGAATAATTTTAAAGGAACTATGTTATGCAGCACCATAGATATTCAATATGTCACCAGCTGTAAAAGCTTGAGCTCTCCTTTGTTGCAACAGCAACTGGGTTTTGAGCCTTTAGTACCAAACTTAAGGCAAGATACTTTTATAAGATTTTTCCCTTGGATACAAATAGAAAATGAATTTCAAGGGGTATCAGGGAGATTTACCATCATTCATATGAAAGAAAAATTATTGGAATGAAGCTATAAGCTTCATGTAAGTTCCAAATGAACTTTGTGGAGAAAATAAAGCTGTTTATTGGAGCAATAAGATACAACATAACACCAGAGATAAATTTATTTAACTAAGAATAATTATGTAGTAGTAGGAACAGGGAAGGAGGGTTTCCCCCGCCCCAAGTTGTTTATTTACCTCAATGGTATTTGTAAAGTAGTATGGTTTGATTCTGAGTTCATGATAGGTAATGGGATAACATCTATGGTTTTGAGCAAGACACATGAATAATTTAAGTGGCATGATGATGCAGAGCTATGGAACGATACAATTTAAAAAAAAATGTGAGCATAGGTCACATGAACAGGCTGTATGGCTGAAGGAAGTTTAGGCTCCAGGCGAAGAACCAGCGAAGCAGAAGACAGGTGAGATACTCATTTTCCCCCCAATACAGCCCTTCTTTCAGCCATGAGCTAAAATGACCCTTTTATTTGTGCTTTGAGAACAGACACTGACATTTATATCATAGCCCTCCAACTACTAAATATTAATCAGCAATGACTAAGATATTGTGGAATTGACGTTTTATTTTATAACTGGCTCCAGAAGTCACACCAGACCCAAACTGAAGAATAATCATACTGGTACTGGCCTCTGCACTATGTAAAGCTATTTTTACACAGTATTGTTAGCTGGTACACGAGGCAATACTGGAGGCACATTTTCCTCCCCCCAGAGAGACTTCACACAAAGTAGGACAAGTCTCATAGAAGGGACCATTGAGATCATCTAGTCCAGGGGTGGCCAACCTGAACCTGAGAAGGAGCCAGAATTTACCAACGTACGTTGCCAAAGAGCCACAGTAATACATCAGCAGGCCCCCATCAGCACCCCCTCCCCACCCCCGCTCCCAGCGCCTCCCACCCAGCAGCAGCCCTACTGATCAGTGCCTCCCCCTCAGTCCCCACATCTCCCGATCAGCTATTTCATGGTGTGCAGAAGGCGTCGGGGGGGGGGAGGGGAGAGGAGCAGCGAGAGCATGGCAGGCTCAGCGGAGGGATCGGAAAGGAGTGGAGTGGGGGCAGAGCCAGGGATTGAGCAGTGAGCACCCCCCAGCACATTGGAAAGTTGGCGCCTGTATTTCCAGCCCCGGAGTCAGTGCCTATACAACGAGCCGCATATTAACTTCTGAAGAGCCGCATGTGGCTCTGGAGCCACAGGTTGGCCATCCCGATCTAGTCTGACCCCCTCCACACTGCAGGCCACAGAACCTCACCCATCCACTCCTGTAATAGACCCATAGCCTCTGTCTGAGTTACTGAAGTCCTCACAGCATGAAAATAATTTTAAAGTTAAGATGACTAGATTTGGAAGAAATGTAGAGCTTGTCTACACTTAAAATGCTGTAGCGATGCAGCTTCACCGCTGTAGCACTTCAGTGAAGACACTACCTATGCCAATGGGAGACATTCTCCCATTGGCACAGGTACTCTAGCTCCCTGAGAGGCAGTAGCTAAGTGGACAGGAGACTTCTCCCATTGCCCTAGTGCCGTCTATACTGGGTTTAGGTCCGTTTAACTGGGTCGCTTAGGGGCATGGATTTTTCACACTCTGAGCAACATAGTTATACTGACCGAATGTCCTAATGTAGACCAGACCTTAGACTCGCTACAAGACTTCATCTTTCAACACCACTTTGGAGAGCAGCATCAGCATCTATTCTGCAGGCAGCTGAACATTCTATTCTGCAGCATACTTTTCAGTTGCAAAGTGGATCTTTAATTCAATCACTGCTGACAAATAGCATGGGGGCAAATAACGCCAGTCAACTCATGAAGATACTAACATCTCATGACTCCAATTCAGTTTTAATATACCAGGTTATTCTTCTGGGAGAGCAAAAATTCTCACATTCATAACTAAAGGTTAGATGTGTAAACAGCCAAGAAAGAGCCTAGGGCCATAGAAGAATTAATTAAAAACAAGGTTTGGTTCAGTGAACAATGCTTATCTCTACAAGAAATACTTGTGGGAAAATCTACTCTTTTTTGTTGCACCCTCTCACTTCAAAAGTTATTTTCTTCCCACACTTTATACAATACTGCAGGGAAATTGTGCTCTTTAAACAACATTAACTGTATTTCTAATTCCTTGATTTTATATAAACTTTTGTAAAGCAGAAAAAGTTTTGAGCTATAAAATCCAGGCCACTTACTATGCATCTTTTTCAAAATATTTAGTAAAAACTGATTGTCAGTGTCAATGTCATCTGGAATTTGCAACATGTTTTCATCTGGGGAAGGGGTGAGATGGAGACTCTAGATGTCCTGCATACTCCCGACACCACAAATTACCTTTCATTGCAAAGCATCAGATTAAACAGGCAAAGTTGTACTTATTACCATTTTTTTTAAGCAATGGACCAGTTAACAGAATAATACTAGGAGAGAACTTATGTACATATGTTAAGAAGGACCTGATATTCATGAGTACGTACAACATAGACCCATGTTTTAGTTCTCTCTGCAATAAAGATTTATTTAAATTGTTATTCCACTTTATCGTAAACAAACATGGCAATTATGTGCTTTGTATTGTTGACAATATATTTCAATGCAAGCAGTGATTACTAATTTTAAGATCCCATTGGCTGTTGTCATTTTATTGCAACTTACAGAGTCTTCTGGAGGTCTCTGAATTTTCTCCCAGTTCACAGAAGGTCCCTTTTCTTGCAAGAATCTGTGGAATAGCTTCTTAAACCCTTCAAGGTCTTTTTTAGTGTGCTACAAGAGGGAGAGAGTGGATGAGTTTTAGAAATAATGGTATTTTGTGTTTACATAGGTTTATCACAAAAGCATTTTACAAACCTGATCTACAATCTGTTCATAAGAATCATTCATCCAACATTTAAATGTAGCCAACTTTGGGGTGAAACACAGCAACACTGCATAACACCTTAGGACAGGAAGCACAGAACACCTTATCCAGTTGAAACTGCAGGGAGAATAAGTTGGGAAAAATGGCCAAAGTTTTCAAACCAAAGTGCCTGTAGTGCAGGTCCTAAATAAGTACTAAACGTCACTAAGTTAATGGTGCCGAGTACCTGCAGCTCCCACCAAAAAAAAATCAGGACACTTGTTTGAAAATGTTGGCAAATACATAATTACCTAAATTAAGTTTGGCCAGGACCTCAAGGTATAATGTTCCTATTCCTTGGAGTATGTAGGATCTTTAATAACCAGAAATGGTGAAAAGTTCAGTAATAACTCAGAGGCAAAATTGCAACCCTCCGCATCACCAGCATCACTTCCTTCAATAACTTAAGTTTTTCTTGGAAGTCTCTCCTCCACATAGGGTCCAGGCCAAACCCTACTCTTCTCAAGATTACACAGAATCACAGCACATTCTAAAAGTAGGGATTATATTAGTCTGACTACACAACTGCAGTCATATACCAAGTATATTGTTCTATACACAGAAGATCCATTAAAAAAAACCTTGAGAGGGAAAGACTACAAAGTCTTCCTCACAAATTTCAGATAATAGACAACTTTGTGTGCATCTTGCTACAATTTTCAGTTTCAGTCAAATTGTTAAAACAATCACTGAATAAAAAGGTTTTCACCTTGACTACTTTGTCACATTTCAACAACTTGACTGTTTGTTACTCTACTTCTGTTCTCTTCTCAAATTGGCTCAGTTTTAAAAAAAATCAGAGTAATTTTGGTGATAACCCACTTCCAAGCACCATGAGAAGTGATTAAATTATCTGAACTAAGTTAACATTTTATGTTCTTGGATAGGTTTCTGTGGACTATTAAACATTTACGTATTTTTATAATTTCAGTTTCAATTTGATTGGGGAGGAAAAATATTACAGCTTGAACATATCTTTTCAAATTCTTCATATTCTTTCAATTGAAATTTAAGTTTTACATACAGTATGGAACCACTAGCAAGTTAGACTATTGGTTAGTCTATGTATTGTATGATTTAAAAAATTTAACAGAAGGTCAGTCACATTTACTTGTCTGTTGGAGACATGCTTTTTCAAACTGTGGAGCAGGAGAGGGGGAAAGGTTTGGAGAAACAGGTTTTATTTGTGAATGTTTCCAGCTACCAATTCAATAATTCATTATCTTGGTGGCCAAAAGCCTTGAGTACTAGTCCTCCACATTCAACCCTTAAACTAAGCATAATCTCTCTTCCCCTTCCTCCTATTTTGTACCATATCTTCCCTATTGTGTATTTTTGACAGTCTCTCTCTCTCCACAAAATTCATTTAAACAGGAGAAGTTATATAGAGGCATTTTTAGAGTTACATCTTTTGTAGTCCTTACCTCTAGCTCATTCTGAGGTGCAGTTGCAAGTATTTTCTCAAGTTCAACTTTCATTAAATATTCCAGTTCTTGTCGAATGACTTCTTGAAACTGGGACGTGCCAGCTTGAGACATTGCTTTTCTATAATCTTTTTTAAAAAGATAAGAAAGAAGTTGAAGGGTGGGAAAAATCATGCCCTCACTAAACTCCAAGCATCTAAAAGCAGCAATGCTGTAGGCATCTTTTTTTAAAAAAAATATATAATCCAGACTTGTTTTGTTGTTATATTAGTATACCCAGAAAAATACAAGTTGCCCATCAAAAATCTCTTATGTATAAATACCAAGTAGTTTGGAGGAGAATAAAAGGCATGGAAAAACAAGAATAATTTCAATAAATAAAATTACGGAAGACCCACAATCTAGATACAAATTTCTGTGAAGAGAAACCTGGACTCAGTCAACTGCATCACGATATTGTACTAGAATAGCAAAGAAAATATAATGATAATGCTCTTCAGCAATACATGTTTGTTTTCCACAGTGTGCATTTTATAAAGACTAACTTGTCTGACCAAAAATAAAAAATATGTTGTAGTAATCTAGACAGTGAACTTTCAGGCTGTCCTCAGTCAGTTAGTTCCTGGTATATGTCTACATAACCTGTTTTTATCATAAGCATTTTCATACTGTAATATGTTACTAAGCAACCTAAAGAAATGGTTTGCCTATCACTTCAGCATGCACTTTGCTGCTGAAAGCTGATCATTACTCATATTTACAGAAATAAATAAATGATCAATAAAGTCTGCAAATATTGATTCATAGTATGTCAAAGGGGAAATCAGAAAATAGTTATTGCCACTTTTTCCCCCCTTCACAGTTACCAAAGCAAGCAAGTGGACATGATTGTAATCTCAGAAGAGTTTGCTTAATTTAATTTCTGCTGATATCCTTAAACAATCACTTCTCTGTAACAGAGGAAAACTATTGCCAAATAAAACTGGGATTTAAAAACATCCTGAACAGTTGTTTAAGGAGGAATAGGGGGGGAAATGCTTCAAATTTAGTTGTATTTACAAAGATTATTCAGAGAGGAAGTTATGCTTAAAAGAAAAGTTTATATAGAGTAGTCATTAAATTAAAATAATATTCCACTGAAATATTTTTGTAACAATGCAAGAGGCACATTCGTTTTAATACTGAAATTGTTTATACAAATCAAATCTGTGTCAGAATTCAATGACTGTGTAATTACCGCTTGGAAACTCACAGTAGCCATTTTCCTGACTGCACTGTCTTGCAGGTAGGAAAAAAAGAGTGCTGCAATGCACATACTGTGGTGCAACATGGGGGAAATGTAAGTCAGGACACCTGCTACAATTCCTAATCACTAAAAACAAATGTTTAATTTTACAGAAAAAAACTTTTAGAACCTATTAATTACATTTTCCCTTTTTAATAATTTTCAAATGCACATGCAGCTCTTCTTTTAAGAGAAATTCAGGTATTTATTCCTACAACAAAAGAATTGTCTACCAGTTTACTACCTTTTTAAAAACAACTGAAAGTGCTATTTTTTCATTTGCAGTTTGAGTTGATGTAGCAGGTTCCTTTACAGAAGCTTAAGCAGCATCCCAAGATGCAACACACTTTGTAAGTGTTTGTAGTCCTTGATACATGTTACAACATGTCTCCAAATTCAGCAACAACTTTAGGGCCCAATCAGTACAAATCAGGATCCCATATTTCACATATCAGAAGAAACAATGCAATTACCAAATTACCCGAGAGAGTACCGTTATTGTGAAATACTAACTACTTTTAAAAAAGCAAGTTAACTTATCCAACCTGCATTTATGTTGGAAAAATCTGTTAATTCCCATTGCATGGGAGACCCATTGCAAGTCACTGGGTATTATGACTTCGCACATAAGGAAATAAAACATATTTTGTGACTGATTTATTTGTGATAATACTTCTAATCAGTGTTTTGAAATATATTACTAAAATGCAATTACTTTTACAGAATGAGACCTCACTAAAGTACTAAGCTATTAAATTTATGCTGAAAATCTGTGCATGTGCGACTTATGAAATGTGGAAATTAGCAGAATCCTGACTACACAGCCTTTCATTCTAACTCTAAGCACCCAAAATCACTGACCTTGAAGGCCTTGCCTTCATACAATCATTTTTTTTAAAAAATTAAAAATCATATTTAAATCCTAATATAGATGGCACAGGTTGTAGTTTTAGCATGTTAGCTGGTCAAAGTTAACTTTACTCAAGCAGCAAATAAGTGTCAAAATTACAACTTGCCTTGTCCACATTAGAATTTTAATATGTGGTAGTGTTTTGGGGTGGGGGTGGAAGGCAGAAAGAGTTAAGTGCACCCAGTCCAAAATTATACTTTTAAAGAAAAGAGTTATGGAAGTGGAAAAGTTATTTTTAAAATTTAGCCTATTAATAGTCTTGTCAAAACGGAAAAAAAAGGCTACAGTGTATTATTTGTTGAAAAGACAAATACAGGTAGTTCCAAAACTGGATCCAACTTAAGTTAAACAAGTCTGGTAAGAAATTACATGTGATACTGCAAGGACTCCAAAGGAGTGCAGAGTTATAAGAGAAATAGTTGTATGAATTTCAGCTCCATTCCATTAACATCAAGCTATAAATGAAAGCTGAGATTTTTGTAAACAAGTGGCAGGTCTTTTTAAAGCAATGCATATATATTTAATACAGCATCAACAAGTATTTTTTTTTTTATTTTTTTTGTTATTTGATGCCTAGAGATGTATAAGTGCATAGGCTAAAGGGAAACATATGTAATTATTCATTCAGATGAAGACTGGCCTTTATTTTGGACTACATATGTCCTTAAATACTTTGCTGAATAAATGCCATAACCCTTTCTGCCAAATGGTCTGTAAAAGTTTACCTTGTGTTATTTAATCAAAAATAATGGAATTATCAGAAGAATGTTGTTTAAATGTGCAGAATATGACAATAAAATAAAAGAAAGCCTTCATGTACTACTGCTTTAAGTATTTAATTGCAAGCGACAAGATTTCTCCCATTGTTTCTAAATCCTATTAGGCTCTTAAACTTCCTTAGCGTGAGCAGGAGAATATCATGATTTCCTATGCCTCTAAAACCATCCCAACAAAGAGAATTACATTTGTGTGTCTGCAGCACCACTGCCCAAAGCAGAGTGAAATAAACACACTGCTTGTCAGTTTCACGTTACTGCTCATGCTAGAGAACTGGTGGGAGGGAGGGCAGGAAGGAGGGAGACCAACTGTTGCCAATTGCTACCATATTTCATGATCTTGTCTTTTTGTTCTGTGTTTGTACAGCACCTAGCTCCAGGGAGTCCTCATCCATGACTCGGGCTTCTAAGAGCTACTGCAGTACAAATAAATAATCCATTTTCTTTGGCATATAACTAATTGTTCATTTCCAACTTTAACTTCTATAAAGCTAGAGCCCTAATCATGCAAACACATACAAGAGTAACTCTACATATAAGCAGACCATCACAGTTTTACTCCTGTGATTCAAGTTACTCACCTACCTATGCCTCAATCCTGCAAGCATATGGACAAATCTAATCCAACACTAAACCAAAGCAATTGTTAAATTTACCAGCCCAAGCTCATGGCTACTCCCCCATATTGATAACAATGACAGAAAAAAATAATTTTAATTGCTGATCTAAACACAGGTTTCAGAATGGTAACCGTGTTAGTCTGTATCAGCAAAAACAACTAGGAGTCCTTGTGGCACCTTTGAGACTAACACATTTATTTGGGCATAAGCTTTCATGGGCTAAAACCCACTTCATCAGATGCATGGAGTGGACAGGACAGGCCCAACAAAGAAAGCAACAGGACGTCACTAGCCATCACCTACAGCCCCCAACTAAAACCTCTCCAGCGCATCATCTAGGATCTACAACCTATCTTGAAGGACGATCCCTCACTCTCACAGACCCTGGGAGACAGGCAGTCCTCGCTTACAGACAGCCCCCCCAACCTGAAGCAAATACTCACCAGCAACTACACACCAGACAACAAAAACCACTAACCCAGGAACCAATCCCTGCAACAAACCTCATTGCCAACTCGGTTCGCATATCTATTCAAGGGACACCGTCATAGGACCTAACCACATCAGCCACGCCATCAGGGGCTCGTTCACCTGCACATCTACCAATGTGATATATGCTATCATGTGCCAGCAATGCCCCTCTGCCATGTACATTGGCCAAACCGGACAGTCTTTATGCAAAAGAATAAATGGACACAAATCAGACATCAAGAACTATAACATTTAAAAACCAGTAGGAGAACACTTCAATCTCCCTGGACACTCAACAGACTTCAAAGAAGCAATTCAACAAAAACACTTGAAAAACAGACTCCAACGAGAAACTACAGAACTGGAATTAATTTGCAAACTGGACACCATCAAATTAGGCCTGAATAAAGACTGGAAGTGGCTGGGTCACTACAAAACCTAATTTCCCGCTGCTGATACTCACACCTCCTTGTCAACTGTTTGAAATAGGCCACCTTGATTACATTGGCCCCATTAGCACTATAAAAGTGATTTTTCCTGTCTTGGTATTCACCCCTTCTTGTCAACTGTTGAGAATAGCTGACTTCTATCTTAACTGAATTGTCTTGTTAGCACTGACCTCCGACTTGGTAAGGCAACTCCCATCTTTTCATGTGCTGTGTATTTATACCTGCCTACTGTATTTTCCACTCCATGCATCTGATGAAGTGGGTTTCAGCCCATGAAAGCTTATGCCCAAATAAATGTGTTAGTCTCTAAGGTGCCACAAGGACTCCTCATTGTTTTATCTAAACACAGTTAGTAGCCACAGATAAGTAATTTTTTTCAGGACTATAATGAAAGGTAATAACCATGGCTCCATAAAATGAGATTGCACACAAAAGCATCTGATAATTGCAAAAGCAATTCATCAAGACTACATTGTCAAATGTCCCAATTACATATAAATAACAGACAAAAAAGAATTCTTGTCTTCCAAGTTATCTGCAACTACCTCATACTTTAGTGGGCATGCTGTGTTTCAACTGTTGTCTGAGGTCAGACTGGGGTGAGATTAAAAAGCGAATGACTGTTCACAGGAGTGGTCAATGTAGAAAATGAGTGACGCAGTATGAAAGTGTCAGAATAAGTTTGGAGTTTCAGAGAAAATTAAGTTTTGAAGGTTAACTGGCTGAGATCTTATTTATTAAAATTATTTAGCTATGATACAGCACAAAGCTCACCCCCAAATACCTCTGCCTGCATGAAGCACCTTTTATCGTGTAAATTAGTAGAAGTGGTTGAAAGGTGGAGAGTCAAAACTCAAGGCATATTTTATCCCTAATTCCAAGTATAGTTTTATCTTTGTTGTCTTCATTTGTGATCCTTTTCAGCAACCCCCAAATGTATCTATGGCGTGTACTGACAGTTATTTTAACTGCCAGGAAACCTACAGACAAATAATTTATACATTGACACTTGCCTAAACCTTAGTGATAAATTAGGCAAAAATAGTAAACAATAGGTTTTATTACCCTGCCAAAAATCAGAATAAAGACACACACTCTTTAAGGAAATAGTTTGGACTAAAATTTCAGTCCAATCTCAACACTAACTACTCTTTACATTAGAAAGCCTGTCACTAGTGCCAGTTTGTTTAGTTTTTTAAAGGTTCACAATTCAGCCAAAAGAGAATGTTTACAATGGCTTGAAACTTGGTATACAATGTCCCAGGAGGAAACCATGGTTCAAGAAACTTGTTGTGGCTAATATCTACTTTTAAGAACCTTTTAAATCTATTTGGTGTTATTAATTTAGATGATTGCTTATGCAGAGTATGCACAGTGAAGGCTGTCCGTCAGGGTGGATTTGATTTAAATCACTAGTCAGGAAGACTCGATTTAATCAAGGATTTCTACATAAAAGTGCATTCTTGTTGGTTGTTATAACCTTAATACATATTCTTCACAACTCCGAGACAGATGAGACCCAAACTGGGTCTCTTTTACGGCCTGCTGCCATTATATGTTTGCCCTTCTAGTGAGAGATGGTATGGTAGATTTCAAATCAATGAAGGCTACACTCAGAAAGACCTCAAGACTCCTGGAATACGCTGCTCAAACAGTTTCACTTTTGTTTCTACTGCCTGTCCCTCCAGTCTCACATTTATCTCCAGACTTCTTCTCCTTGTCCAGATCTATTCCGCCCCCAACAATCTTCTATTCATTTAACTTTTTGAAACTTTGCACTTTTAGAGAGGTAAGGGATTGACTCTGTGTTCACAAATTTGCAGAGGGACAATAGGGTTGAGGTCTGTTATTTCTCACCTCTATATATTATTTATTTAAAAACATTTTTGCTGTTAACAAGCATGTTATCTCTGGAGACAAAAATCCACAGTTTGAGAACTGCAAAACTAAGCATCTCTGATGGTATCTTCTAGGCTTACCACTGAGTCCCATTGGGTAGATAGAAAGATTAACCTAAATAATCTATACAGAAGTCCGTGGAACTCCATAAAATTGGGTCCCTAATTCCATGAACTATTGGAACTCTTTTACAAAACTTTTCTTAAACATTACATAAATATATTGTCTCATACTATAGAATTAGAATTTATAATCCCTATTCCATGATGAGATATCGTTGAGCTATAATGTATCTATTTTTAGATAGGTTTTTTCCTCAAAAAGCATTTTATAAAAAAAGTGGTTTAAATAAAAAAAAATCCAATTTTTTTTTAATCATTGTTTTTTATCCACCCTGCTGTCCATGTCAATTAAGTAAAGAACAGCTAAACCTCAAAAGCGCTATCAGGAGTTCAGGGCACTCTGTATGTCACAGGATGAGACTTTAGTAATGTGCATTCTCTAATATACTAAAGTAATTTGTATTAGTTCATTCCATCTTTTTAGAAGCCTTCCATATCCACCCACTCCTCTCAACCATCTTCTTTGATTTTCTTTTTTATATTGCTAAAAAGAACCTGTGTTTTAAGGATGTAAGCGGACATTCCACTCATTATAAGATATATGAAGCCATTCTGCTCAGGCTAATACTTTATGTGTACAAGCTAAGAAGCAGTTTTGCTATTAACACATAGCCAGTTTAGATTTTAAGGTGAGACATAAATGGATTTCTAAGCCTAGTGATGATATTATCATAGTGAAAAATATCATTTGACATTAGCAGTGCAGACTAAATTTCCAAGTGTTTTAATATTGATTTAAATGGCAGGAAAAAATGTAAATACTCTGTCAAATTCTAGGCAAATAGTTTTTGAAACCTGTTTATAGTCTTACAGAGGTTTCTAAAGTTGTCAGTTTCATAAATGATACCACTTTTCTGCAAGATGGCCACCTCCACCAGTAGCCAGAGAAATGCCAATTGTAATTTTAAGACATATTTTAAAAAGAGATACATTTTGCAGTTTATTAATGGTGAAAAGTGGCTTATCTCAGTAATTCTCTGACTGCTGACTTGAGGAAAACGGCTGTAGGTTTCCCCCTTTAATTCATCACATTCTGCTCAGATGTCACAGGGTGACTGCAAACAGTAGATCCATTTACATAGTAAGTGTTCTGCAATGCCTAGGCACACATGCAGAGTTAATAAGACTTGTTTTCAAAGCCAAATTTTTACTCAGTCTTCTCTACTACACATTTATACATACATCCAGAAGATAGGGTTATCACTACTACCCTTACTATAGGGAGGGTTATTTTGTTGACAGGCCCGAATATGCTATGTACATAAAGCACAGACATTCGATTTGTTTTTATTTTCAAAAATCTTAAGAATCAGTTCAAAGGAGGAAAAAATGCAACAGCAATGCGAAGTAATTTCGCCTCCTAAAGTGACCACTTCTGGTCTAGTCCCTTGTTTCGCAATAAATGAATCGGAAACTCTGACCACGTATACGCACAGAGCGAGGAGACGGCCAGAGCCTACCCGAACCTCCAAAAAAGGAGAACAGACACACAAGCTCAGTGCCTCCCCCCCTTAAATAAATGAAGGGGAGACATTTGAGCATTGCGATAATCCTCTGTGGACCCCAGATCTCGTCTGTTATTCACTACAGATACAGCGGCAGCTGCCTCAACCCGGTTTGACTGTCGCTGCAGTAAAACGGAAAAGAAACATACACAGATAAGTGAGCCCAGCCAGGACAGAATGGCAGGCCCCTATCGTCAAATTTAGCAATCAAATTAACACCACCGCCACCAAAATCTTGCAAAGGGTAACTCTGGAACCGATCAAACTGACGCGTCCAAGCCCCCACCAACTATGCTGCCAGGACTACAGGAAGCTATTGAAAAAATAAATCAGCCAACATGCAGAGCTGAAGCCGCTCAGAAAAATAAAAGCACACCCACTTACCTTGTGCAAGTGACATTTTCCCGTTCTTTAATAAAATAAATATTTTCCTTTTATAAATAGAGAATGTACCAAAACTACACTATAAACGCCAGGCGAGGCAATTTTCCCCTTGTCGCCCCCTTGTGTAGTAGAAGACGTTTCCCTGTCTGGTTTAGTCAACCAGTTATATAGTATCAATAATTTTAAAGGGTATTTAATCACTCCCTTGGGGGAAGAAAAATCCCACCAGAGAAGCCGCCCACACACGCAAAAAGAAAAATAATGAAGGAACTGGGGGAGATTTTTCCTCCGCTCGGTTCCTCCCAGCTCCTTCCTACACTTGTCCCCTGGAATAGCTGGCTCTTAGTCTTGGACAAACTGGTTAAAGGTAAACGCACAAGAATTTAAATTTCATCAATGAGAGAGGCGGATCTAATGCCTCTCCGCTTCACCACCCCGCCCCTCCCGCCCCCCGAGGGCAGGACTGCAGCAGGAATGGGGCGGCCCCTGGCTCCGGCTGTTGCTTCCCCCCCTGGGAACTCGCTCCAGCCGCCTTCCAATAGCAGGTTCCCCAGGAAACCCCCAGCAAACAGCGGCAGCTGCTCCTGATTCCGCCAAGGAGCCGCCCCCCTCCCCACGTTAGCGGGAAGGCTCCTTCCATTTACTGGCCGAACTCCCCGCCGGTCCCCACACCCCGGTACGCTGCGGTGTGGGGCTGCTCGTGGCTGGTGGGTCTGGGGCTCCTCCCCAGCCCATCGTTTCGGTGACAGCGGAGCGCGCCGAGGCTGGGCTGTGCCTGTCCTTTTGCCCTAAAGCACGGGGAGTGGGGGGGGGGCTCACGTATCTCAATGCTCGGCCAGCCGAAGGGTGTGTGTCCTCAGCCGCCCGCTGCAGGGGCAGAACAGTGGGGTGGCTTCCTCAGCCAGCCCCCCCTCGTGCCAGCTTCCTGGGGGGGGCGACAGGGCCGGGCCCCCCGGAGCAGCTTTGGGGGAGAAGAGAGGGAAATGGGGGGTATCCGCAGCTGTCCCCCCTCCCCGCCAGCTGTGGGGGGGGGAAATCCTGCCTGGCTCCTTGGCCCGCCTTCACACGTGCCCCCCACCCCCGCGCTGTGCGGCTCCCCAGGCGCAGCACAGGGGACTCGGCTCCCGCCTAACTCCACCTCCCCAGCCCGGCAGGGAGGAGCGCGCTGCGGCGAGGGTCACACCCGGAAACAGCCGCGCGGCGGCGGGCTGGGCTGGGCGGGGGGAGGCAGCCGGCCACACGGGGACACGCTCGGTGCAGCCTCTTCCTGGTCCCCTGACAGAGGAGGCGGGCACGGACCCTCCCCCACCAGGATTACGTCACGTGTCCCCCGGTCCCAGAGCGGCGCCCCCCCACAATGACCCCGGGGGGCGCAGCAGCCCCGAAGCCAGCCGAGATACCCACCTAGTTGCGGCAAAGCGGGGGCGGGGCGGGGGCTAGCGCTCAGCCTATGGCGGCGCCCTGAGTGGCGTATTGCACAAGAGGGGTTCTCGCTCCGGGGGGGGGGAGGGGAGACAACGCCTCACTTGCGCCGGCCGGCTCCTGGCGCCGCTGCCAAGCGGAAGTTCCGCCTCCGGGTCCGGCCCAGGTTGGCCGCTCCTCGCACGGTACAGGCCGCGTCGGCCGCCAATCAGAGCGCGGGGGAGGTAGCGGGGCACGGGTCCGCACTGTACCTGGCGGGAGCTTGTGTGTCAGGCCGCGCGCGAGGGGCCCCGCCGCGCGCCTGATTGTGCGTGTCACGCGCCAGCAACTGAAGCCGGCGGGGCTGGGGTAGGCGAGACAGGAAAGGGCAAAACCCCGGCTGTGGGGGTGGTTGAGAAGCGGGGGTCACACGGGGCATCCCCGCGCCACGGCTTGTGAATTGGGCGGGACCAACACCGCGATGACGATGGGTGTCAGAGACAAGCCAGGGCCGCACCTGGGTGCGTGCACAGGGGGAGGCGGCGGTGTCACTGAGCAAGATTCATTAATGTGGGCTCAGGACAGCACTGAGGGATACGGTAGCAACTACTAGGGACAGTTCACAGGCGTGGGGTAAATGATCCGATGAGTATAAACAAAGTTCTCTGCAGCCTCCATTTCAAGCTTTAACATTTCTAATGTAAGTGATTTATAGGCATTAACAGCTGACCATGCCCCATATGCAAATTTCTTGAGCATTGCGTTGCTTTATCACCAGCTTGCATCACTGTGTGAGATGTTGCTATAGCAGGGCTTGGCAACCTTTCAGAAGTGGTGTGCTGAGTCTTCATTTATTCACTCTAATTTAAGGTTTCGCATGCCGGTAATACATTTTAACATTTTTAGAAGGTCTCTTTCTACAAGTCTATAATATATAACTAAACTATTGTTGTATGTAAAGTAAATAAGGTTTTTAAACTGTTTAAGAAGCTTCACTTAAAATTAAATTAAAATGCAGAGCTCCCCGGAGGCCAGGACCCAGGCAGTGTGAGTGCCACTGAAAATCAGCTTGCATGCCGCCTTCGGCACGCGTGCCATAGGTTGCCTACCCCTGTGCTATAGCAAATCATAGTTGTGTTGCATCAGAGCATCACCATCTTTCAATGGGACCTTTGCCCAAGGAAGGGTTCCATGTTTGAGCCAGAGTTTGTATGACTTGAGAGTGAATGCATAGATGTAGTAAATGAATATTCATGTTGACAAATGTGCTATATGTAGGACCAAATCTGATGACTTTTGAGGTGTCATATGGGATCACTAAGAGTTTGAGAAGTTCTGGTCCAACAAGGTAAATCACCTGGAGTTATCCTGGACAACCACACCATCAGTTAGCCATAACACTGTATTCTGAATGATTTATCAACTTAGTTCAACAAAAAATTAGTTGTATAGGAATAGCTTTATCTATATTATGTATCATCACTGGAGGAATGTATTTATATCATCTGCAAAAGAATGAACTAAAGGGACCTACTGTTACCACAGGCAGGGGAGTAGAGGGTTTTTAATCTAATGTGGTAAAGTCCTGTGCTGCTCCAGCATTGCTACTTATGTAGGAGCTGTCTAGTAATTGTCTTGTCTGCAGTGTCTAGATCATCTTCACCACACAATCTGTCATAGCACCATTTGGGTAGTCATTCTGCCAATTAGCGGTAGAATATGTGGGTGCTTGGCAGTACTAAAACATGTTCCAACCAGTATATCCCTTTGTAATGACATATACAGGAGACTTTATCAAAGGTCCAGTAGAATAATTAACTTGCATCTATCCTTGATAAAGATCTTTGGGCCAAAACTTTGGCTCTTGATTATATGTAATAAAGGTAACATAATAGAGCATATGCTTTCTACAGCAGAGGAAGTCTATATTTTAACCATCTCTCCACTGTTACAAAATAATTCAACTATATTGGATATGTATATGAATAATTGAGACTACTAGCTCTTATTTTACTGATATCTACAGTTTAAAGGAAGAAACATCTGACTGCAAGTACACTACCAATCAACTATTTCATTACAAGAGATCCACAAATCTGGGGCTTTCTCACTTTTATAAAATGATGAATCTTGAAACTCAGCTTACAGAAAATTTAATAAAAATCAAGGAAATCACATCTACATCAATCCAATTTTCTGTTTTCTGCTGTCTGTCATTTTTAGGTCTTTTGCACTTATTTTAAAAGCAGTTATACATTTGGCTCTTAGACTGAGAGGAAGTGTAAAAGGACACAAGCTAGATTTTCAAGTGTTATGAATCAGTATAGCTCCACGGCCCACAGTATTCACGAATGAAATCCCCAGTTTAGAAGTTCACTTCCACACTGTATATGTGAAGCATTTTGAAACACCTGTTTCAATCCATGTAGTAAATAATACACCTGTATAAAAATGTAACACTGAAGTTTAACTTTTTGATAGTTAAAATGTGAAACACTCATAGGGGAGCGTGAATATAGACTTCTGATGCTGTAATTATATACGCAGGTAGTATGTGTAGGTGCTGTGTTTTATACGTTTGTTCTGATTTCTGTAAAAATTTTACTGCAAACTAAAAAAATGAATTAATCAGCGTTAATTGTCATTTGTACCCACTAACCAACTTCTGGGAGCTGTTCTACACAGAAATACTTTTAATTGTTAAATATTTACTTTGCTTCCTGTGCAATCCTTCTGGCATTCCTTGGTTTGCTAAATCTATCACAGAGTATAACATTCTATTACATCACAGATACCACAATTTACATAATATGAAATTCTAAAAAATAATTGTAATTTTTATTTGATTTGTTCATGTGATATGACAAAGACAAGTTTATCTTAAATTAGTTTTAAGATATACATGATGCAATAGACCTCATCCAAATGTCCACTGGAATCAATGAGAAGACTCCCACTGACTTCAAAAGACATTGGATTGGTCCCAGTATGTTTCTTATATATTGCAATGAAACGTGGTATGCTGAGTCTTCATTTCTTCACTCTAATTTAAGGTTTCATGTGCCAGTAATACATTTTAACGTTTTTAGAAGATCTCTCTCTATAAGTCTATATTACATAACTAAACTATTGTTGTATGTAAAGTAAATAAGGTTTTTAAAATGTTTAAGAAGATTCATTTCAAATTAAAATGCAGAGCACCCTGGACCGGTGGCCAGGACCCGGGCAGTGTGAGTGCCATTGAAAATCAGCTTGTGTGCCGCCTTTGGCATGCGTGTCAGAGGTTGCCTGCCCCGGTATAGAGTCTGCCTTAAGTACAACCTTTTTGCCAGATAATTCAGATAAAAGAAAACAGTAAATGTAGTAAAATAATTCATTAGTGGCTCTAGCAATGAGGAATTGTATATCAACTTTGTAGAGCTACCATTCCAAGCTCTGCTAGATGGGGAGATCCTGCTACAACCAGCTAAGTGGAATATGGACAACAGTGGCCCAGTCTAGTGAACTCAGTGCCATTTAATCCACAGGAGAGGAGACTGAAAGTGAACTTCTGACTTTCAGCCTGATGGAGACATGACATTTAGAAGCAGCTTGGTGAGAAGACCATGCTGACATAACATTTCCTCCTCACCAGGGGATGCAGATGGTAGCAGAAACAATAACTGGGGATTAGAGCTCATTCACCACAGAGTTAGGAACAGACTCTAAGACTTGGTATAAAAATGGATTCTATCAAAGCTTTGCAATTCTGGCACTGGATTTTTAGCTCTGTACCAGATATGGTTTTGCATGCATGAGAAGAAAGGAATCAAAGATGGGAAACTGATGCTTGAAGAACAAAATTACCGTGACACCTTTGGCTAATCATGCATTTGTTAAATGACACCAAAAGGAGGATATTTGTGTACCTGCTTTCAATGAAGCTAATTTTAAGTATGTGTTTCATAAGTGGAAATTTCTCCCTGCTCCTTATCATGCATGTTAGCCTAGAAAAAAAATATTGTACAGTGATAAATCTACAAAATAGGGGTAGGCAAATGTTAAGCTAAACTATTTAGAGTACTATAGAGTGCTTGTGATGAATCAGAGAAACTGCCCCACCAGCATACCAGGGAGTAAAGAGAGCCTTTGGACCCAGCTAGCCCGGCTGCATTATACCTGCAGCCAATGCGAAGCCTGGAGGGAGGGGGGGGGGAGAAAGGGGCCTGACTTTGGGCCTGACTGGTGAAGAGGCAGGAGCTAGCTGCCTCCCTACTTCAGGGGAAGGATCACTAACTAGTCCAGGGGCCGGCAACGTTCGGCACGCGGCTTGCCAGGGTAAGCACCCTGGCGGGCCGGGCCACTTTTATTTACCTGCTGACGTGGCAGGTTTGGCCGATCGCGGGGCAGCAAGAAGCCACGACCAGAACATCGCTCACCCGCGCCGCTTCTCGCCGCCCCCATTGGTCCAGGACAGTGAACCGCGGCCAGTGGGGGCCGCAATCGGCCGAACCTGCCGCGTCAGCAGGTAAATAAAACTGGCCCGGCCTGCCAGTGTGCTTACCCTGGCAAGCCGCATGCCGAACGTTGCCGACCCCTGAACTGGTCTGTCAGCCAAGGCAGCACCTGGGAGTAAGCACTGTCTCTCCAGTGAAGGGACGGGAGACTGTGAGGGAGACCTAAAAGCCTCCAGCACCTGAGGTAAC